TCCGGACATTAGTAAAGGCTTATTTTCCTACATTCTATTAAAACAAATACATTAAACATGCAATCTGAGCTACAAATCCAACCTTTAGAGCAAACCGAGCTCAGGTTGTGGGGTATCTACCATTTAAAAAATAGATAAAAAAAGAAAAACTTGATCTCATACTTGAGAAATTAACTCTCTGCATTTAAATCCCACTGCATCCCCTTAAGAAGCAGTGGGCTGCCATTGTGCGTCACCGAGGGAGCAATGTGGGGTTATGGGTGTTGCTCAGGGACCCAGATCAGAGGCTGTGGGGATCCTACCGGGTACTTGCAACCTTCTCAGAGCACAGGCACACTGCCCTAACCACTAGACACTCCCCAACCAATTAGTTCTACTTTCTGTTGGTCTAACATATAAAATACCAATAAATGCATTGAGATTTTTGGATGTAGTGTGATTAAAATAGACCATCTTTATGGGCCTGAGCACATCTATACAGCTTTCCTTAATTTAAATCTACATACCAGTTTCCCTGGGGTCTGTGCTGAGCGGGTCTCTCTCAAAGTGTAAACATCTCCACAAACGGAGATTTCTCTCCAGACGCCAGGCTTGGACTCTTCCATGAAGCCCCCTTTAGGATGCATCACAAGCACCCCATTGGTTGTCAGCCCGTCCATGTGACCATCAGGGTTCTTCCATTTCGCTGCTTTTTCCTGTTGCAGAAATGCTATTTTATTATTTACACTGCATAGAAAAAAAAGATACTTTTGTCTCATGAACTGATCTACAAGTGGAAAAAACTAAAACATAAAATAAATATTATAAAATAAAGTACTCATTAACAAGAACGAGTGATTACCCCCAGAAAGATGTTTTTGGAGGAGTCAAATCCTGCTGCATAGATGCGAGCCGTGTAGGGAGGGTTACGTTCGCAGACAACCCTGCAGGCGAAGCGGGAGATGGTGCTCTGTGTGATCTGAGTGTCCTCTCCATCCTGGCCTCCTGCTACAGTGTCAGTAACCACAAAGTCGATGGGGTTTTCAGTGGAGCGTCCAATCTGCAGAGCAAGCCATTCATATCTTTTGATTCAAGTCATTACGCTCCTCATAACAGAACTGTTAACCACTTCAAAATGTAGGTTTATAAAGGCTAAAATAACAGAAAAACACTGGACATGATGAAACGGAAAAATGTATTGTTTTTGAAAGCTCAGTGTCTGCTTGATGTTAAAAAGCGCTCGCCCAGAGGCACTTTTACTACTGTGTTGCATCATCTCTTTTTTCACTACATTTGAAAGGAAAGCAGGCCTATTTAAGCAGAAAGAAAAACTAAATGTTTTCACCATTCTCACTTTATTCAGGATTTTAACTGCAATCAAAAAATCCTCAGTTTGTCTTTATATTCCACTTTGTCACTAAAGACCAATACACAGGAGGTCACTCAGGAAGAGCTACAGAGAGTTACATTTCTACTAATGGTGATCTATACAAATCTGCTTATAAGAGAGGAGCGAGCAAAGTGATAGGATGTTACCACAATCCTTTTAGCAAAGGAGATCGCTGTCAGGACAGAAAACATGGTGTTTATATCAACGATCCATGCAGTGAGTCCCACCCAACCTCTCACAGATGCTCTTTTTATAACCAGTCTGTTACTGACCTGTTGCTAACTGACCTTTTCATGTTCCTGTTCGGGCTCCTTTTTTAAACATGCTGCTGTTGCCAGGTTCAAAATTAGCATCTGTTCATTAAAAAATACTCTAAACCATCTAACTTTCTGCTATTTTCATGATGTGTTTTTTTAAATGCTGGAAAATCTTCATATGCTACCTTAAACACACATTTCACAACAAGATAATTATATTTTTAGTAATGGGTGGGGGTGGGATACGTCTTTAAACTTAGCTTTTAGCATTGCATCAGACTGGTGCTGAGGAAGAAATAAGCAGTTCCCCATTTATTTCACCATCAGTGTTTTTTTTTTCTCTGTAAATGTCCTAAAATCCTTTTTTTTGTGCAGTTCTTCCTCTTTCTTTGGTTTACAATTATGATTTAAAATATAGACATTATTATTTACAACTTTAATGTGGCTTTCAAATGAATTCAATCCCATTTGCTGCATCACAACGCACATTAAGCAACATGTTTTAAATAATATTGAACTGTATTACGGAAATTTGTTAAAAGAAAAAAAAGTTCTCAAACTGTTAGAATGAAACCTGAGGACCAGCCGAAGTGTACATCTAAGATTTAATTCCAGCCTCCTTTACTAACAGCTGCGTAATTAAACAGGGCGTTTACCTGAAACATGTCTGTGTCTTTGTCATGGCTGTACTCCACCACCACCGTCTGGTGCCTGGACAGTGTGTAGGAGATGCTGTGTTGGCCTTTACAGTTCACAGCCTGAAATGAGACCACACATCACTGCCGTGCAAGAGTCACCTCACATGTAAAGGTTCAACACTTTCCTAGAATCAGCTTTAGCAGAATTTTGTTTGTTTTCTAATGTAAAACACAACATTTGGTGTTAATTTATGTTAGCAGGAAGGAAAATCTAAGGTAGGAAGGAAGGCAAGGACAGACATAGGAGGAAAGAGGAGGGAAGGACATACAAAGAAGGAACCCTAATGCCTAAGAGGCAGGGAGGTAGAAAGGAAGGACATCAAATGTAAAGATAGAAGGAAAGGCTAGGAAGGAAATAAGGAAGGAAGGAAATAAAGAAAAAGGACTAAAGGAGACAAAGAAGGAAGGACCTAAGAGAGGATATAACAGGATATAACATTTAGGCAGGAGGGCTGGATATGAAGTCTGGAAATACAATATGTTTTTATTCAACTCTTAGCTTTTAAACAAAACTAAAATCAAATTCCAAATACTTTAAACTGCACAGGAAACCTCTATAAATACCCTGAATTTTAACATCCCTTAAACCTTTTCTTTTGTTATGTTAAAAACTCACATTTAAAAGCAATTAACCAGGATTTCAGATATATATATTTTTTTAAACTCACAGTTAGCTGCGCAATACGCCTTATTAATACAATCTCAGATTTTTTTTCATTACAAAATCTTTTTTTTCTTTCCGTAATTTAATAAAAAAGTACAAATTATAGAATTTATTTTCAGAAAGTTTGGCAGGCCCTGCCATTGATCCTTTAGCTGTACAGCTAGTGGTATTATTCAATTAACAGTTTTAATTATACGTCGGAGAAAAGAAACTGAACGCTGATGTGACTCTGAACCTTAAAAGCCCAAGGAGTGCATGAGTAAAATATATTCTTAGTTTTCAAAAAAAAATAATTCCAAAGATAGTACATTTGATTCAACAATATAATGGATTTATCGCCCAGTCCTTCTTCCCAGTCTGGTTTCCTGGTTTGCATGACGCTGGTTGTTCACAAATGCTCCTATAATAATCTCCAAAGCCTTCTTACAACAACTGGATTTATACTGAGATTAAATTACACACAGCCGGACTCTATTTATTGATTTCCTAACTTCTATCATGCAAAGCATTTTTTTTATTTTCAATGTAAAACCTATGCAACCCTCTGGTTTGTGGTTTTTAATGTGACAAAATGGGAAATGTTTCATAGGGTATGAATACTTTTGCCAGGCTCTGTGACAAAAAAGTGATTTATTGTGTCAAAGTTGTTCTTGTTTGAGGCCTTGACACCATCAGCACTCATGTACGGGAACCATGCAGGAAAAAAAAACAAGTATTACTTAATCACTCCATTGACAGATGCTAGGTTTACAAAGAGGAAATAGAAAAAAACTCCAGACACACAGCATTCATCGAACAGATCACGTCCTAAGTTGGAGTTGTGAACAATTTCATCCTGTTTTTTATTTCTACAGATAAAACTGCAGCAGTATTTAGCTTTTTTTATTGCATTACCTAGAACTGCACAGTGTGGTAGAATATTCCTGGAACAGGAACAGAGAAAAGCCTGTAAAGTCATACTCCCATGACGGTGACCATAAACTGCCCACTGGCCTTCAGTGAGCCAACCAGTCAGCAAGCTGAGGGGAGGGGAGGTTCTAGTCAACACTCAGACACATGCCACCATCGTCCCGCTCTTATCAGGAAATTCCATTTCCAAAACAGCCCCCCCTATTTTGTCACGTGCCAAAAGCAAAGAGAAAGTGGGTCACCAGAGCTGCCACGCTCTGCTGTAACTTCAGAAACAGACGGGAGGGCAAATGTCATCACCCCCACAAACAAATGCTGCCCCACCTGTTCAGCACACACGCAAAACAGAAAGACATAAAAATAACCGTGTTCCCCGACCAGAGTCAAAATAAACTGAAGGCTGGCATCATGGGAGGTTCTCATTATCTGTCATGAACACCACAGCGTACACAGACATGTGAGCGTTCCCTTTCAGCCACCAGGCGCTCTCAGTTTGTTCGTAGGCTGCACTGTTAGGGAGAGCGAGTGGGCCGGCAGACTGCTCCAAAAAAAGGAGAAAACCATGGCTTCTTTCATCTGACTCCTTCAGCCTTTGATTAATTTAAACACTGCATTGGCTCGGCACCTTGTTTGTCTCTCACAGATGGTTATTTCTGACTGGATGTGCAGCTGGGAGTGGAGGGGGGCTGGCCGTCTGCAACAACATCCTCCGTTTCGCCCAGACTAATAATCCCAGGCTTGGTAACAAGGTGGCAAAGAGGAACAGAGGTAAAAGAGGAAGAACCCTGCAGCGGTTTGCGTACTGAAAACTCCTGCAACCGCTTATTTTAAAGCCACAAACAAAGCAGCACTGATTTATGAAAAATAAGGCTTTCACCCAGTGCCAAAAGTGAAGTACAGTTACACTATTTCAACTTTTTTTCACACTTTCTAGTGCGTTTTACTGAGACTTTAAGAGCACCACCAGTACAAAGTAGTACATCATGTGGACAAGGGAGGAAAATTAAGCATGTTTGATGTGTTTTTTTTATAGATTTACAGTGTAAACAACCACTTTTAAAAGTCACCTAACTGGGAAATAGAGATCGTCTGTTTGTAATTTATTCTCAGCAAAAATCCAGCTGTTCTTTAAAGTCCTCATCAGTGAACAAACACAATCAAAACCAGTTTCCAAATATTGGAAGTATCAAATTACTGGTCAGTTTGAAAACAGAAAGAGTACGGCCACCGCAGCTCTTCACCTAAATGAACAGCTGTGGAAAGCATTGTTCATAAATCACCAACAGGCCACGGTGTCTCAAGAGGAGCTGCAGAAAATTCCCACTTTAGGTGAAGAATCAGCTGCTTTTTATTTTGACATCGATACATTTAATGGCAGACAGACAAGATGAAAAGCATGATGCGGCGGTGGCAGCAATGTTTTTTTATCAGAAAAAGGGAAGCTGGTCAAAGTTCAGGGGAAGATGTATGGAGCCGAATGCAGAGCCGTCGTATTTATACAGAAAATTTATATTTACAATGTTAGTGGCTAATAATTGCACTTAATTTAATTTAGGGGAGTTAGAGTAAAGGAGCTGAACATAAATGCAATTTTCGTCCTTTACTGCCACCCACTACTTTATGTTGATCTATCCTTTAAGATCCAAAATAGACTGAGTTTTGAGGCTGGCAGAGAACAGAAGGTGGAAAAGCTCATAAAAGACAAAGCCATTGTTAGCCAACATTCAGCTCATCCTGGAATGAAATAATGCTCAGTTTCTGTTGTGAAAAGTCCTTTTTCACAGAAAAAGACCCTCTTAGCAGATATCAGGAGTCATGTTACACCAGGTGACAGAAACCTGAACCTGAGAGCCTTTGGTCGGAGGGCTAAACCGAGAACAAACGTCTGAATAACAGCAGAGAAAAGCAGCTCCCTGTTTAACGGCTTGGCTCTGGAACTGAGAGGAGGAATGCGGGAAGGGAAACACGTTATACTGGCTCCCTGGTGTGAAGAGAAGCGATGAGGCCTACTAGGAACTATGGTTATTGAACTGGAAATGTCAACACAATAGTCAGTGCCAACAGCAACGTACATTTGTGTTCCATGAGGGACAGATATCAGGAAACCTGCTGCTAAAGAACTTGCCTTCCCTTTAACTCCATCTTTAATTTACTACATTCCTCACATGAGGAGATAGTTTACAAATTCATAAGAAAATAAACACCCATTTATTCAGTTGCATAGAGAGAGTGTTCATTAAACTGGCAATTCATCCTTTGTAGTGTACCTTGCTATCCTGGGGTGTGTTGAGGATGTGCACACTGCTCGGCTTAACACCGTTGGCTTTGGTCCTCTTAAAAAGCGCAAATCTGCTTTTCCGTCTACCCCGATCTCCATTGGGCAGAGAGCCATTGTACCTGTCACAGAGGGAGGGGTGGGGGTTAGGATTGGGTGGAGAAAAGGACAGCGTTCAGTTATTTTTTTTCTCTCTAGATAAAAAGGCAGGGGGGGGTTTTGTTGATCCAAAGAGATGTGTGTAATGAGATTTACAGGCAAAATTCTTGTAATCATATAAAAAAGTACACATGGAGATTTAGAGACATTTGCGTGCTTTGAAAAGGAGCTTTTCCGCGTGTTACATCACTGGCAATCTAATGCACCATATTAGTAATCTAAGCGTCACCTTGGATAATGTCTCTTATTACATAATGCACTCTGGTGCTGGTGATTTCACTGAGCTGGGACTCTAAGCTGCAGATACCAGCAGGAAAACACTGGAAAATACACAGACTGGGCGGCAAACGGAGCGCAATTTTATCTTATAACACAGAAAGCAAAAGAAATCGGATTTTGATAGCTTTGAGGGAAAAAAAACAACTAATGTCTCAGCGCTTCCTGATACCTTCAAACTAGATTCTGTCCGGAGTGAGGAACCTCACCCAAACTCCTCCTCATGAATGGAGGAGCCCTTTCCGGTGGGACTGATCCACTTTCTGTCCACCAGCTGGTTCCTACAGCTGGGCCACCCCATGATTTACTCCCATCCAACACGCAGACCTTCTGCTCACACCCTCAAATGTAACCACAGAGTGTTTAACAGCCACACTGTCCAGCAGACATATCTACACCCAACGCCTCAGCTTTGCATAGCAACTCCTCTGAGGGAAGAGGTTCAATGAGCCACAGGATAATCTGACTCTTCTACCTTTTTGTTGTAAAATAAAGGCAGCAGAATCTCCATAGCCTCCTCCCTCACCTCCCTCCTAAGCCAGTCCACCTGTCCTGTGTCTCCACACGGCTGGCCGGGAGGGGAAACACATGGTCGCAGTCAGGACTGTCCACAAAGCTGGCCTGTAAGACAAGCCACCCAGGGAGAGCCAGGAAGGCGGATTCTGTGGAAAACCTCTAATGCAGTTTTATTGCTTGTTTCTTTATTTTTACTTACATTTGCCAAAGATTTCCTGGAAAGAACGGTGTGTGGAATGTGATTCCTCACAGAAACACATTTTTTACATTACAATTCACCATTTTTCATACTAAAAAAGAAAAGAATTCAGGTGTGGAAGGCTAGAGCAATGAGATTCCATAAAGCACGGTGAATATTCTATTGGTAGGCTAAATGTGCATTCATGACATGAAAATGCTAACAAACATGGAATTCTGAATATTCCTTAAGTTTATTCCACACCCTATTGTAATTACTATATAATTCCAATATATTCTTCCTTTGTTTCGATATTAAGAGTGAAAGAAAAGTACAGAACTGCTGAATTCAATAGCAGGTTTTAGGAGTTATTGTACAGAATATTTTGATTTTAAACTTCCTGTTGTTGCAAAGTAAATCCAATATAATATAAACCCAGTATAACAAGTTGTATAAAGTCCTTTTTTTAAATATATTTTTAAAGAGTTTTTTTCCTGCTGTATAAAAAACAGAGTAATCCACCGCTACCCAAACCTGCTGCTGTGAAAACTAGAGAGATATGCATCACTATTTGCAAGATAGCATGGCTTTAAAACTATAACTGTTTACGACCTTAGTCTCAGTTAAACAGCCCAAAAAATAAACCATCAAATGGCTGCCTGTTGTTTTAATGCACGACAGGGGTCTTTAACGTTTTCCTGGCCAAGGACCCCCAAACTGATGGCGAGATGGAGCGGGGACCCCCCTATTATATATATATTTATGAAATTGTGTTATATCAAACTGGTCCTATAGTCACTCTATCACATATGGAGTAATGTAACAAAAATAATTTTGCCCTTGGATTATTAAAGTATTTCTGATTCGGGATTCCGGGTTGATGGGACAGCTGTTGTGAATGAATTGGTGTCCAGCTTGAAACCAAAACTTTTGCGACCCCCATGCAGTACCTCCTTGGAACCCCTAGGGGTCACGGACCCCCTGTTGAAGACCTCCACTCTACGACATGCAGAGCAGAAAGATTGATAACATTCTTCAAGGTAAGAACTTAAAAACTAATAAATGAAGCTTTTATTCATTCTTTCTTTCTTCTTTACTTTTGTTTGTTTAAAATGTCAAAGATAGCATCATTATAACTTAAATAACCTGAAAAGGTTTAAATAAAAGGAAGCTCAAGCTATCTAACCCTAACCTTACCTCATACTAGGGGACATTCAGATTATTTACTGGGGTAGCCAGCCTGCATTAAAGCCTCATAGATTCACACAATAGTTTTGAAACAGTATTATACCCCCGCCTATATAAAGGTCAACAGGGCCTGCATTGTTCAGAGGTAAACTCAGTACTGGCTGACTACTCATGCATTCAGATGACGTAGAGCTCAGCTTTCTCAACAGGATGAATGGTAATGACGAACATCAGCTACAAGTCTGTAGTAAAATATCTGAAAAATTGTAATTGTTTCATCACCACAGTGCAGAACAATGTTGAATCGTCTAGGAGCTGCTGATGTCACATTAGATAGGACAGTTGTACAAACTGATTGTGATCATGTTCCCTTTTGACTTGTACCAGGCAGACAGTGGATTTACCTCCCAATATTTAGCAGCAGGGATTAGAAGGCCATGACATATTGTATATCCTCTGGGAATAGGTTGGGGAGCCAAAAGCAACTCCCACCCCTTGTGCTAATGTCAAAGTGTACTGCTTATAGAACAGGAAGAAAAGACAACTCTGTCAAAATAGTGTTTTCCCCCAAAACGTATTACATGTCACATGCATTTTAGGTCATCAAACAAACGTTACTATCAGAAAAAAACGATCTTAACGCAAAATGTAGCTTTCAGATACCGTAATCATTTAATTTCCTAACGGGAAAGGTTAATGTGAAAAGAGTTAAGAAAAGTATCCAAAATCTGTTATTATCGTTCATTAATTATCCTGTATTATAACCCCACTATAATATATATATATATATATATATAT